CTCCCGCTGCAGCGCTGGCCTCATTTCCGTGCTTCCGCTCGTTTCGAATCGTGCTCCCGCTGCAGCGCTGGCCTCATTTCCGCGCTTCCGCTCGTTTCGACTCGTGCTCCCGCTGCAGCGCTGGCGTCATTTCCCGCGCCATGCCTCGGCATGCAATGCAATGCTAGGTTGATACTACGCTTTACGGTGCTCTTCTACGACATGCCATGCCGTGCTCTACAATGCATCGCGTACCCTTTCGGGATCATTGCCCTGCTCGACATCCGACTGTCCGAGTAGAGAGGGGATCTACGCCATGGCAATGGATGGGAGGGAGGGGTAGGATGTCAGATATGACGCGAGCGTACCTAGCTTGCCCTCCTCACCCTCCCCCTCCTCCCTCCTCCTCCTCCTCCTCCTCCTCCTCCTCCTCCTCCTCCTCCTCCTCCTCCTCCTCCTCCCTCCCCTCCCTCCTCCTCCTCCTCCTCCTCCTCCTCCTCCTCCTCCTCCTCCCTCCTCCTCCTCCTCCTCCTCCTCCCCTCCTCCCCCTCCTCCTCCTCCTCCTCTCCCTCCTCCCCCTCCTCCTCCGCCTCCCCTCCTCCTCTTCCCCCTCCCCCTCTCTCCTCCTCCTCCTCCTCCTCCTCCTCCTCCTCCTCCTCCTCCTCCTCCTCCTCCTCCTCCTCCTCCTTTCCTCCCTTCTCCTTCAGTTGAGGCGCGCGCCGTTACACTGGTACTATCGGCCTTCAACGTCCAGGGCGGCCTAGGTACATGTCGTGGTGAGGGCGCGCATGAGGGACGGGCCCACGCCTTAGTTGCGAAACTTCACCGCAGCGGCACGGTCATCGCGGTAGTGTCGGAGCCACGATTGGCTCCTGGCGGGCTGTGGCCAAGCTGGGCGGGGTACGCCTACCATGGTGAACGGAGCGCGCTACCGGACACGGTCGCGCTCCTTGTGTTGAACGAAGCTGCACGGACGGTGGAGGTCTTGGAGGACGTTGGGGATGCGCGGTCTATCTGGGCGGCCGTCCCGCTCCAGGGCGATGGCTGTGGTGGTTTATTGTTGCTGGGCGTGTACGGCCCCCCGCCAGGGCACGGCGTTGGGGTCCGCCGGGCGTTCTGGTTGGCCCGGTTGCAGGAGTGGCGGCTCCTACAGCACCGCCCGCGTTTCCGCGGTTGGGCCCTCGTCTTGGCTGGCGACTTCAATCTGCATTTCTCCGCTCTTGGGGGCATAAATGCGCGCCTCGAGGAACAGCTCGATCATGAAGTGTGGGGGTGGTTGCAGGACGGGAACGCCTTTGGTGTTGTTGTCCGCAACCCCGTCGGGGTAGCGACGCACAATTCTGGGTCTGTGATCGACGTCGTTGCGGCCTCCGCTGGTTTGGCGGCCATTGCGGCGGTGGTGCCAGCAGTCGAGGCCGGTGTGACCAGCGACCACTGCAGGCTCGACCTCTCCGTGGGTGCTACTGTTGGCTGCGTTGGGACGAAAACTCTGGGGCTGGCAAGGTGGGCGCGCGACGCTGACTGGGGCGAGGCCCTGCTACTGTTGCCCGTATCGCTCCGCTTTCTCACTGGTAGGGCGGGCACGGCCATGCGTTCCCCTATTATGCGGCGGTGGGTGGTGGATGGCCGAAGCCGTGGCGTTCGCCAGGGGCTGGTGGACCGCGCTGTTTGGTGGCGCGCAGCGGTGTATACGTTGGCTGGGCATTTCGCCGGGCTCGCCCTTGCCCGGGGGCCGCCGCCCAGGCCGCCGCGGGGGGTTGGTGCACCGTCGGTCTCGGCTACGGTCGAGTGCGAGGAGTGGCCGGGGGAGCTGCAAGCCGTGGCCGCGCTGGCTGCAGCAGACGCCATTGCACCGGCGGCGGCGAAAGCCGCCACGAAGCATTTGGACCGTTACCTCGAACTTGCAGCAGTGGCGCCGGGCGACGCGGAGGCGTTCTTGAGCCAGACCCTGGATCTTCGTGATCCTCTGTCCGGCGCTTTGCTCGGCGTAGCCGATGCGCTGGGCATCGTTACCGTTGACGTCCTGACGCGTGGCCTGGAGGCGGGGGACGGCGACGCGACCTTCAATCGCGAGGTGGAGCTGGAGGTCGGCCGCATCCGTCGCGAAGCCAACTTCGAGTCGGCTGCCTTGGGGGACTCGGACCCGTTCCACCCGGAGGACATCGACGCAGTCTTGAGGCAGTTGCGGGCGAACCGCCGTACCCTTCGCCTTCCTCGCGCTGCCGTCCTGGCAGGCCTGTACGGCGGCCGCCTGGTCACTTGGGCATTGGTCTGCTTGGTGACGGTGGCCGCCGTGGCTCCGAGCGGCTGGATGCGCGAGGTTGCCCCGATTCGCAAACGCGGCCCGGCCGTCGTGGCAGACGTCGCCAACCTGAGGCCGGTCAGCTACACGGACGAGTTGCGCGGCGTGTTCGACGCATTGAGGTTGGAGGCTGCGCGCGCGCTTGGAAGAGTACTCGGGGGACCCCCAAGGGGGTGGGAAGTATGACGCGGTGCTCATGGTCATTGGCATGGCTATGGCACTACAGATTCGCCGCGCGCACGGCCTGCCAACATGGGCCGAGAAGGCGGACCTGCAGCACGGGTATGACCTGGCCTGGAGGGACGGGTCGGCGGCAGGGCGTGCACTTGTTCGGCGCTCTCGTCAGGGCTCTGATCGACGGGTGCACGGCAGCGGCAATTGGCGTTGGCATCGACCCGCCCGCGGCTGCCGCGCGAGCTCTCCACGTGTACAACGAGCGTGCCCCCCCGCCCGCGGGGCGCGCCATTTCTTGGACGGCAGCTCAAACAGAAGTACACCGTGCGCGCGCGATGGGTGGGATTCCTGACTGGCCTCAGCATTTTCGCGCGCTGGCCTCGGGCGCGGACAGGTGCGCTTTCTTGGACGCGATTGCAGGCCACATGCTGTTGATTCTCCAGTTCGTTGACGATTCGTTCATTTTCCAGTCCTCTACTGCTGGCCTGGCGGCGGTTAACAATGCCCTGACACAGTTCTGCCAGGTCTGGCGCCACCGTTTCCAAGGCGGGCGCAAGCGACCGCTGGTCATGGCCGTCGGACCCCCCCGGGAGGCCGACACCTTGTTTGGGGAAGTATGCGACGTACCTCCTGGTATAGCTCCTTCGCTCGATATGTTAGGTATCCCCGTGGAGGCGGATCTCACTTTCCACTCGCTTTTGGGACGCGTGTGTTCGAGGCTGCGGGACGGCGCGCGCAAGCTCATTGCTGCTCTCTCGCAGAGCGGGTTTGGGTTGCCTTACCAAGTAGCGCAATTCCCTGCCCGCGTAGAGGCGCCCGCCTTCCACGGGGCGGAGCTCCTGGCCAGCTACTCGAAGGGGTGGCAGGCCGCGGTTACCCAGTTAAACAGGGTGCAGTACGAGGTCGCCAAGATGCTGTTGGTGGGCAGCGGCTCGGAGCTGGCCCTGGGCGACGGCGGACACGTACGCGCGCTGGCCGAGACCCGCATGCTCACTCGGTGGGGGCCGCCCTCCTACAGCGCATCGTCCTGGCACGGGCGCGCTTGCTCGCGCTGCCCGCGACGAGCCCGGTGGCGCAGGTGGTGGCAGGTACGCGGGTTACGACGGGGGCCACATGGTTGGACCACGCCATGGATGTCACCAGGTCGCTGGGTATCACCGTGGACTTCCCGGTGGAGGACATGTTGTCCACCGCGCGCGCGTGCGCGGACACGCGTCGCAAGGCCGTGAAGCAGTGGAAGCGCACGTTCGTGGTACCTGCCGTGCGGGCCCACGAGCAGCGGTGGTTCGTATTACAGCTGGCGGCGCTGAACAACGAGGGCGTGGTGCCGTACCGTGACCTGCTGCCTGTGCAGGAGCCACTGACACCTGGCATCCGCTGGGCGCCTTGGAGCAGGTCTATGTGGCGCCTCTTCCAGGCGTGGTCGCTGGCCCGCGTGGCTGGGAGGCTCCCCGTGGAGGTGTGGTGGGCCGAGGGGGTGGGGTGCAATCCGGCCGCGTGCCCGCTGTGTTCGGAGCTGGCGCCCTCGGGGCGTTCGCTGGCGGAGTGGCTACGCCACCTCTTGGGTACATGCTCCGCTGTGGCGGAGTTGCGCGCAGCGTGCCCGCATGACGACGTGGTTACCTGGGCCCTCAGCGACACGACCGAGTTGGGCATATTGGCAGCGCGGGTGCGCGTGGTGGGGCTGGCTTCCCGCGCGTGGGCGTGCTGCGCGCGCGCGTCCGCGGCGCGCGCTACTCCCGCAGCCGGCCCGCACGCGTGAGGGGAGCGACGTGAGCGCCCCTCCCCGGCGCCCCTGCTGCGCAGGCCCGGATGCCCGCGTAGGGCGGTGGCGCTCGCGGCGGGGCGCATGACCGCCCCGAGGGGCGTCCTTGGCGAAATGGCCTCGACCGAGAAAAAATGGCCTCCTCCTCCTCCTCCTCCTCCTCCTCCTCCTCCTCCTCCTCCTCCTCCTCCTCCTCCCCCTCGCCCTCCCCCATCCAACCTCGGCGGACCCGCCCAGGGCACGGGACGCCCGCGAGCGCCCCCGAGGCGCCCACGGGCGGGCACGGGGCGCCAACGCGGAAAGTCCTCGTTGGCCCCGTCCTACGGTGGAAGGGGAAACTGTGGGGTGTATTCGAGGTGGCTCCCCATAGCTCTTGATGCACATTTTGTCCTTCAACTGTATGACTACGGCTACTTCACAAGACAACTGAGAAGCCTGTAAGTACAAACAGCGTTTGGGGGAGAAACAGCGCGGTCCACACAATCAATTCATGTCCCCTGAAACGTGGCTGACCATCATCTGCGTACAGGAAGCCGACGTAATGAAGCCTACATGTCCCTCACGCGGTGCTAATACGAGGCAGGGAAGCACAAGTGGAGGGAGTGAAACGCTGCACCGAACGAGAGGATGGGGACGGGAATGGACGCGAAGTGAAAGGGGGAGAAGGAAACGGGGAGAAAGAGCGGCTGCTCAGATCGAAAAGGATCCGGTCGCATCTCTTCCAAAGTCCAAGGCCATCGGTTAAGAATTGAAGAAAGAGCACTGCTAGCCCGCACAAGCCTGGTCACCCATATTGCCGTTGGTGCCGATGAAGTAAAACTTCTTGGTGTTGCCCTGCTTCTGCATCGCAGCCCAAAGCCTCGAGCCGGACAAGAAGATGTCCTTCGCTTTGAGAAGAGCAGAACCGAGAAATGTTTGCGGTAAGACGCCCCGTCCGATCTGGACGCTGCGACAACCCTCCGACCCTCCTCCTCACCTTTCGCCTCCTTCTTATCCTCCTCCCGAAGCTCGACGCAACCGAAGGCACGAACAGGCCATTGTCCGCGTCTGTTGTTCAGAAACGGGCGGTGCAAACCCTTTTGATCGGGCCGTCTACGCCAACGCTTGGGCAAGCTTTTATTGACAGTAGCGTCAATCATCCAACGACGTCTGACCAGGCAAGGCGCCTCCGAAACGGGCGGTATCGGTAGCACGCCATGGACTGGTCAAGGAAATCCCAGGTCTTACTTGCCTGGTATCCTTCGGCGGCGAGCCAGTTGGGGAAGTGATCAGGGGTGATCCTTTTCGAAGGCTCAGAAGCCCCCGGCCCTCTGACAAGTGTCCTAAGTCGTCTCCGAAAACACAGAAAACTTTTCAGAAGGCCGGAGGGCTTCTGACAAGCCCCGCTCTTTATGAGAAGGCCTTCTCCTTCTCGTTTCGCCCCCTCGCTCGCTACCGAGCAAACGCAAATTCACACAAAAACGGTCCCCGAACCCCTTCCGGGGTCAAAAAGACCAGTGCGTCGAGCCGCGTCCAGCCATGGCGACGAGGGGGCCCCCTTCTCCCCACTCTTCCGCTGGCCAGAACCAGTGCTGGGTCACCTCAGCCCCCCCTGCCGGCTCCAAGAGACGGACAGCCCGCCCCCCCGCTCCACCCACCCACGCGGCACTTTTTGGCGCGCAGCCCTGCGCGCAGCGACAGGGCGAACAAGCGGCGCCCCCCCACCCACACACACACACACACTTTTAACTCGGCGGCGCAGAAGGTCCTCAAGCGCGGGCAGCAGATGGAAGTGCGAATTGCAATCGAGCATCGTCACAAGCACAGAGTACGAGGCGTCGCACACTGAAAAAAACAACAATGGGTTGTGTGAAAGAAGAACTGTAAGTCCACACGAACCGTGCAGCGGCCTGAGAACCGAGGAGGCAACTCACACATACACACACACACACACACCACACACACACGCAACGCCCCAGACCCCCCAGACCCCTCCCTAGAGCTCGCTAGGCTGCATCACATCGCGGGCGCTCTCAGCTCGCCACTACACGCGCACGCGCGTGCCCGAGCACACCCACAAACAAACGGCATAGACATAATTTCTCTGAGATCCGCGCAGACATCTCGGATAGGCGCTGGACCCCCTCCCGGCGCCCGACGCGACGCGAGGAGGGCCCAGCGCCGATCCAAGAAATCCGCGAGGAGCCTCCGAGATACTATCGGGGGAGGCGTAAAGGTCAAAACGCCCCGTGCAGAAGGAAACGTGACTCTCCAGTTGGGCATATTCCATGACCCCACCTTGGGTTAACTCCCCCCTCTACGAACCCCCGATGTATGCTTAAACCGTTTTCCCTTCCAGGTGGAGGGGGCCCTCCCGGTCGGGGCTGCCCTCTGGGTGGGGGGGCTGCCGCCCAGGTGGGGGGACCCCCCTCGAGAATTCATACCGAGAGACAGCGCCGGGCAAGACGGGCAATGGCCGCAAGGCTTGCAGTACGGGCACGAGACGGAACTGCAATCGTGGCACGCGGGAAAGCAGCACTTCCGTACATGCGGTGCTGTTTCGCGGAAGTGCTCACAACGTCACCGTCGGTCATGGGAGGACCAATCTTGGCAGCCTGCTCTTAAGCTTTGGTCCCAACCTGCGTCCGGAGCTCCGCCGTCGCACTGCGCGCGCGCTGCAGCCGCAGATGGCCATCCTCCTCCTCCTCCTCCTCCTCCTCCTCCTCCTCCTCCTCCTCCTCCTCCTTTCTTTATTTCTTTATTTATTTACTTCTTTCTTTATTTATTTCCTTTTTTCTTTCTTTCTTTCTTTCGCAACCCTGGAGCGCGCAGCGCAGGGCCATCTTTCTCATCCAACGCAACTCTTATCCGGACCGGAGGGCGGGCCGACAAAGAAAAGCGGGCCAGGGACAGAACCAAAAACAGGCGGGGAAACGGCGAGCCGGGGAGCGAGGGGGGGAGGGACAAGAAGGACGACAACGGAAGGAACAGACGGGGCTGACAGACGGAGGAACGGGGAAGCGGAAAGGAGGGAGCCAAGCTGGAGGAGGGAGGGAGGAAACACGACACACGAGGGCAAGGGAACACAAAAGCAGGGGGGCACAGAAGGGACAGGGGAAGGAAGGGAGCCAAGAGCCAGGAAGCACACAGGGCCAGCGGGCCAGGGATGGGGCCCGCCACAGGGCACGGTGGTGGGAAAATCAGGCCCAGGGCAGATCAGTTCGCTCTGCTGCGTTTGTGCTTAAGAAACTGAGCAAGGGTATTGTGCAGACAAATTGTCGCATCGTCAAGTGCAATGGCCTCTGCAGTAAAAGCTGCCCCTGGCGAGGCAGAAAAAATCCACGCATCGCCACGATGAACGTGTGTCTGCATTGGTCATGGTCGACCACGGCCTCCAGAATCCAAGCGGCCCTGGAGAACGTTGTCCCTCGAGTGCCACCATCGGAATGGCAAATGAAATTCGCATCGTGTGGACTGAAGCTGCTAAATGGTGCGGGGAGGTCCCGGTGCCAGCTGCTCCCGACATGCATTGCATGATTGACCAAGAAATCTGCAATTCGATTTTTCTCACGGCGATGCCACACTACCGGATCAGCTGTGCGCGAATGTGGCGTCCAGCCGCTTGTGGTAAGATCAAATAGATGTGAGGTCATCCTCTCAAATACAGGGAGCATCTCTGGCTTGTTTAAAAGAACATGCCCGCTCATGATGTCGGCGAGTGGCGTGCAATCCACGACGAAAATGAAGCAACTGCTCTGCTGCCAAAACGAGATGGGTTCATATCCTTCGCCGTGTTCACATGGACGTTTGTCAAGTTCGTGGCTCATCAGCTTGCCGCGCTTATTTCGCGGCTTCTGCGGATTCTCTGGGTCTGCCGGTGACCGCGGGGCAGAGAGACCCCACTCCGTGCAGACGGCGGCAAGAAATCTGGGGAACAGCGCTCGCCATGCCGCAGAATTTGCACAAGAATCCCGGGTGGCCAGTGGGCTCCAAAAGCGATGGATAATACGTCTTCCCATTCCGTCCGATACCCCATGCCTGCGTGTTCCACTCCTCCTCCTCCTCCTCCTCCTCCTCCTCCTCCTCCTCCTCCTCCTCCTCCTCCTCCTCCTCCTCCTTTGCCCCTGCCACTCCGTCACCACCCTCGTCCCCCGCCCTCTGCACCCCCCTTCCCCCGCCCCCCCGCTCCCCCTGCTGCAGCAGCGGGCGTCCTCCAGCCGCCGGGCCCACATGCTGTTCGCCCTCTCGACTTCTGGAGAGACGCCCTGGAGCGGGTCCTTGACCATGGCCCGACCTGCGCCGCGCTCGCGAGGGCGGGCACGCACAGAGGCCGCGCTCGCGAGGGCGGCAGGCCCAGACTCCCACCGGCCTCCGCATGAAGAAGTCGGGACGACGGCTTTGGACAATCCTCTCGGCCCCTGGGGGCCCTCGCCGCGGCACGGGACCGTCAAAAAGCGACTCGGGACGAAGAACTGGCCCCGGGGCAGGGGTCGGGGCTCCTGGGGACGGCGCACCCAGATGGTCAAGGCAGTGGATGTCTGGGATAGGGGGGGGAGGCAAGACCGTCGCCTCCGAGCTGGCCCCACGCGGTGACCACCCTCGTGGCCCCGTGCCGCCCGCACTGCCTTCGGCAGCCTCTCTGCACGGCGGCGGAGAGAGCAAGCAGAAGTGCAGGAGGTCCAGAGTGCGGAAGATTGCACCCATGGAGGGCTGCCGGAGGAAGGCGCGACGAGGGAAGGGAGCCCTTCCGCACTTCCCTCCAGCGCCGCAGTGGCCAGCAGCCACGGGTGCATGTGAGGCGGGCCACGCTGACTCGTGCTCCAAACTGCTCCATGAGGCCCCACCCGATGCCTCTCCGCCCGATGGCCAGCTCCAGCCCCACCGGCACATGCCGAGACGACCGCACAGTGCCATCCCATCCCCCGCGCTGGTCCTCCCTCCATCCTCCCTCTCCCTCTCTCTCCCTCTCTCTCCCTCTCTCTCTCTCTCTCTCTCTGGCACACGCCGGCTTGGCTTTGGACCCAGGGATCGCGGAAAATACCTCGCGTCTCCGTGGCCCAGGTAAAAGGGGGCCCAAATGCGAGATGACTGACGACCGGCGGTGTAGGCGGAGTGGGCGGAAGAGAAGCTACTCAGCACGGACATGCCTCCCGTCCAAGTGTTCATCATGAATTGGGCGGCACACAGTAGTGAATCGAGAATTCATTCACTGATCAAATAATTGATTCCCCTGTAAACCAAGAAGGGGGAATCACATTGGGACATCAGTTGATTAGTTAGCGTCCCGTTGTCGGAGAAAAGGGTAATGTTTAAAAAGGGGAAAATGAGGGGGGCCCGAAGCACGCCGCTGGAGCGCAGGAGCCTCCTGCCCATGCTTGGAATCTTCAGAGGGGTAGGAGGTCCCAGCATCATACCAAGCTGCATCTGGCCATCGCTCGGGCGTCCATTTCCCGTGCACTGTTTCGATTTTTCGTGCGCGTACTTCCCCCGCGATGATCCAGGACCAGCATCATACCAAACTGCGTCTGGCCATCGCTCGGACGTCCACTCCCCGTGCATGGTTCGACCTCGTGCGTCTTTTCCCCACGGTGATCCAGGATGCTCCTCCATGGTCCTCGCCGGGAAACATCCACACGTCCGAGCGGTGCCAGGGCATGGAAAGTTTCGCCACGGCAGTGCCTGGGACGTAGGTGGACAGACTAGCAACTACTGTGCGCCCCCCTTGGAGGCACACGCCCGAACCCAACGCACAGTACCGACGTGCTCGGGTATACCTGTGCCCAGGCGGTATGGCCAAACTCCTGGGCGCGCGTGGCCCCCGGGGGGGGGGGGCCCGGGGGGCCGACGCAGACATAGTGCAAGTCTGCTTGGGGCGATGCCGATGGCATGGGTGATGGATCCACGGATCGGGGGAAGAGCCTCAGGAAGCGACTCCTGGGAGGTGCTCGAGGCGGCGCGGCCACGCTCCCGGGGCATCTGGAACAGTCACGCGGAGGACTCCTGGGGTCGGCGAAATCCGAACCCTGGCCTCGCCGATCAGCGATTCAGGCAACTCGATGGGCGGCGGGGGTAGGGTTCGGAATTGGTCAGAACGATTCTTAATGCTGTTAGGCCCCATGGAGCGACCATTTGGCCAGATCGGCACAGATGAAACCCAGGATGAAGCCAGATCAAGCCGAATGGGGCGGAATCTATCTAGCGGGACTGTACCAGATGGGGCCACTTCTCGACCACGGATACGCCAGCACCGCTGCTGAATGGAACCGCCCAGGAGTTGCATCCTCAAGTACCCCCCGAACCATGAAGCCACTGCCGCCTGACCTGGCGACGGAGCGCACCGATTCGGCACGAAGAAGGAACCCGTCGCTGATCCTCGCGCCTCGGTCCACATTTGCGCTTCCGCGACTCTCTTGGCCGGGGCAGGCTTCCCGGGAAAGCGGCGGGGGGGGGTCCCCTGCCACAAAACGACCACCCCGCCATCCGGCATCGCGCCTGTTTTCACGGCGTGGCTCCCCAGCGGTTTGGACCCCCTCCCCCCGGCCCAGCTTCTCGTCCGAGCCGCTTCTGCACGGCCCCAGGGCCCGGCGAGGGCCCCCGCAGGCCGCAGATGACAGACAGAAACCCGCCGCCGTGATTCCTGGCCGCGGAGAGAGAGATAGGACGCCAGGGCTCGCCGCAAGATCCTCCCCGCCGCCTCCGCCCTCTGGCGGGCCCCGGCCCGGACCTGCCACTCTGGCCAGGCCCTCGCCGCGCGGCCTTCCGGCGCGGGGGCGGGGGGGCGTCCGGGCGGAGGGGGCGCGGCGGCCGCGCGAGATCGCCATTGCTGGCCGTCTGCGCGTCGGCGGCGCGCCCGGGGGGGGGAGGCAGAGGGGCCGGGCCTTCTCAGAGGGCTCGGGAGGCCTGCGGCCTTCTGAAGTATGCGGACCTTTTCCGAGGCCGCAGGAGGGCGTCTCGGAGGGCAAGAGGGCGCGCGAGAAGCCCCGCGGCCTTCTGAGAAGGCCCGCCCACTCTCACTTACCCCCCCCCGGGTGCGCCGCAGCGCGCGCGGGAATCGGGACGACAGCGAGGACGGGGACAAGGAGGAGGAGGAGGGGGAGGGGGAGGAGAAGGAGGAGGAGGAGGAGGAGGAGGAGGAGGAGGACCAGGATGAGGACGGGGAGGAGGGTCAAGAAGAGAACGGGGACAAAGCGAATTGGCACCCATAGGGTAATCGGGAAAGATGCGGGAAACATCACACAAAGTATGTTACGCACCATGTCGCTATACGCACTCATATTATGATGCATGGTAATACGCGCTAATAACATCGGGTCATGTGTAAAACCAGATTGCTGGCATCACTGGATGACCTTCTAGCACCACTAATGCGTCCTGCTCATATGCTCATACGTGACGGTACAACATTACTAGTACGTGTGTCAATACTGCATCAGACTGCGTTAGCCAACGTGGTTCCCAAACATTGTGTTTCTAAGAATATGTGTTGTACAATCTCTGTGCAGCAGTATGTGTGGCACGATGTACGTGATGCAATCTATGGCGCGCACCAGCCCGGCCGGCAGGGACAGCGGCGGCCGCTGCGCTGGGGTTCCAGCGACGGCGGGGCGCATTGCACGTACCAGAACGAGTCCAGCGGGTCAAGGGTGCGATGTAATCAGGGGTCTGGGTCACCAGGCGGTGGCTGCGCGTTCCCCAGGTGAGGTCGCGGGTGGGGCGTGTCCAGCAAAGTGCTGGGCCAGCGGAAGCGGCGGGCGGCAAGACCAAGCCCGGGGCCGCAGCGTGGCGGCTGCAGGCAGCCACCCAGCGCCATGGCGGCGCGCGGACAAAGGGAGAGCGAGCGGGGAGGCCGAGGCGAACAGGGAAGAGGACTGCCCACCTGCAGAAAACCCACAGGCGGGGCGGCGGCGCCGGGCAGCAGCGGCGGCGTCGGGCTGCACCACACGCTGCGCTGACGGTAAGCGTGGGGGGAAAACCGGCCCTACAGCTACATAAAAGACCCGCGCCTTCTAAGAAGCAGGGGTGTTTCTGTGAAGCCCAGCTGCGCGTGGCTGAACATCACGTGGCTGCACATCGCGTGGCTGCACAATTCCAGACCAATCTCTCCTGTGGCCCGCAGCCGGTGGCGCCCGCAGCACGTCCGCCCTGCAACGAGCGGGCGCCCTGCAAAGCGCCCTTCGGACGCTCCATGGTGGCGATGCCACTCTCCGCGCGAGCCTGGCTGAATCCTAAAAATGCCCATCCTCCCCATCAGGAGGAGGAGGTGTAGGAGGAGGAGGAGGAGGAGGAGGAGGAGGAGGAGGAGGAGGAGGAGGAGATGGCCGCAGGCTGCACAGGTCCAGGCCGAGGCAGGGCCCCTGGAGCCCCAGGGGCAACCCCGGCGGAGGCTGCGAGATGGCGGCGGCCCGCGCTAGACGCCGCCGCCAAGTGGTGCACATCGTCAAGCCCCCATGGCATTCAACCACGAGCCCAGAGATCTGACGCTCCGAAAAAGTGGAGCGGCGGGCTTGGGGCCATCTTCAGCCTCTGGGGGCCCTCGCCAGGCCTCGGGGCCGTCCGAAAACAACTGGGAGCGAAAAAACGGCCGTAGGAAAGTGGTCCAGACTTCTGGGGCCCACGCATCTAAAAAATTGGAGCGGCCGGATCACACCCAAAGGCAAGTATCGGGTGGCCTCAGGAAGTTCCCAACAGCCCACACGAGAGGTCAGACGGTGGTTCGCACCCCAAGAGGCACCCAAGAAAGCCACATGAGCTCGTGCACACTTGCGCGCTCCGTTTGTACTTCGTTTGGCAGAGACAGACACCACTTGTAGCTCCACTCGCGCCTGGTGCTCAGACATCCAGGTTGAGCTGCTCGTCCACACACACACACTCCTTGTGGAGCGTACCGTACCGCAGCACGCACACCAGAGCATCGGGGACAGCTCGATGTAGACCTTGCGCAACTCGCAGAGGAGGTCGTGCTCGTCCAGCTGCGCACACTAAACATGGGTCGGAGGATCGCGCCGCATCGCCGATGCCTCGCCGATGCATCGCCAATGCATCGCCGACGCATCGCCGACGCCGTCAGCGTGGAGAAAACCGTGATCCACAGCGAGCCGCATCGGCGATGCATCAGCGATGCGGCGCGATCCTCCGACCCAATCTGCTCGGACGCCATCCAGGAGGCCTAGAACGCCCCCTCCTACGAGAACGGCTCCCATGCACCGCAGCATGTCTGAACTCTGCTCGGGCACTGCTCCAAGGCTGCACGGTGCACAGTTCTTTCGGCTCCGAGGGCCGAACAAAACAAACTGTGCACCGCACCCTCCCTGGGGCAAAAATCGACGACGCCTCGGGAGACACCCGCACGGCACGGTGCACACAGGTCGTCCGCGGAGCCCCACCGCCATCACCAGGCTCGACAGCCTCTACCGCCTCGGGGTGAGCTGGGCCCGGCTCCGGCACGCCCTCGGCGCGCAGCACCGCGCCCCGAGACGCGGGGCGGCCGAGGGGAAGGAGGCAAGCTGGGCGCGCTGGTGCCATATCCAACATCCGATCCCTTCCGCCCATCCCTTCCCATTGCGCCGTTTGCTCCCCGTCCACCGCCGCGGGTCGTCTCGGACATGGAGCACCAAAGAGTACCCCATGGAGCCACGTATGCGCACTCGGAGAGAAAACGGAACAAACGAACAAACTAGCAAGCAGTGTTTAAGAACAGACATGACACACATCGAGAACAGGGTTCAACAGGTGTGGATATAGGTGGAAGATGGGCAGACATTGACAGCGGCCTTTGGGACCATACTCTAACAAAAAACTTCGCACATTGGAGAAGCGGTGATTGGAAGAATTAATCGGTGTGAATAAAAGAGCAGAGTGAGAAGGAGAGGAGGAATCCCGCTCGCTGCGCAGAAGAGCAGTCGTCTCGGGGCGGACGCGCGGCGCGCGCGCGGCGGGCCGTAGGGAGAGACGGGCCGCCGCGATCGCACCGAGCGGCGCACTCAGGTGGCCGTGTCCAACACGGGCCCCTGGACGACCATCAGGAGGTCGTAGCAGCGCCGCAGGCCAGCCTTTGAAGAAGGAGGGAGGTAGAGGGTGGGGGCCGAGAAGCTGCAGACGACTGCGTAGCGGGCGCGAATGGGGATAGAGAGGTGCATCCCCGCTCGCTGCGCAGAAGAGCAGACGTCTCGGGGCGGACGCGCGGCGCGCGCGCGGCGGGCCGTAGGGAGAGACGGGCCGCCGCGATCGCACCGTGCGGCGCACTCAGGTGGCCGTGTCCAACACGGGCCCCTGGACGACCATCAGGAGGTCGTAGCAGCCATACCCATGCTCAAAGCCCTTGCGAAGTGACAAGAGTTCGGCGGGCGGCTGCGAGCTGAATGGGCCACCCGGCAAGGCCAGCATTCAGGAAGGACGCGACAAGGTAGTCGCTAACAGACGCAAAGTACTCGACCAGAGACCGAGAGGCCTCAGGGAGGGCGGCAAGGACAGTAGAAGCGGCAGCGTCTTGCAGATATCCCTCGGCGGTGGACGCCTGGCGCCAGCGGCCCCGCCAGAAGACGCGTGGCAAATGCTCCGTAGCGGCATTGAAGTCTGTGGCGCCTGTGCCTTGAAGGCCAACGGGTGTGATGTCGAACCCCGCTGGCATCTTGGCGAGCGGCACGCCCAAGCCGACAAGTAGATGGTTCCACCGAGTACGGAAGCCGCTCTGACCAGAGGTCGTGGTCATGAGCGGATCGGTGGGGCCCACATGCCGAAACACAATATCCATAATTTTGACGGTCGCTCGATCCGAACAACGAGCGTATTGAATCGGATAAGACCGACAACTCTCAGGAACTGCAATCGACAAGAAGGCGTCGCCTTCCGGCTCAAGGCGGTCGCATGGCAGCGACAAGTCACAACGCTTCGCGTGGAGAATCTCGCCTGGACGCAGGGACATCGTGAATCAAAAAAAAAAATCCAAGAGCAACAAAAAAAAAAATAAAAAAAAAGAAGAAAAAAAAATTGAAAAAGAAAAAAAACAAAAAGAAAAAAAAGAAAGAAACAAAAAAAAAAAATAAAAAAAAAAAAAAAAAAAAAAAAAAAAAAAAAAAAAAAAAACTGAAGAAAAAAGAAATGATAAATTAAACCAAAAAAAAAAAGAAAAAGGAAAAAAAAATAAAAAAAAAACAAAAAGAAAAATAAAAAAAAGAAAACATAGAAAGAAAAAAAACAAAAAAAAAAGAACAAAAAAGCAAAAAAAAAAAAAAAAAAAAAAAAAAAAAAAAAAAGCGCCAGCCAGCACCAGGGCAGCCATCTCGGGCCACTCCCACAGCAGGCACAAGCTAACCATCGCGCGAAGGAGCGCTCGGGGTAGCGGCGGGCGGAGCCCGGGGAAGCTGCGGGCATGCCCGAAGAAGCGCGCTGGAGGCTCGGAATGCTTCCACAATTTAGCAACATCCCAGGCCTCAGTCAGCAAACCCCTACCGTGAGGGTGATTGGCCTGCACGCCCAGCACGGCGTGAACAAGGATGTACTGCGGGAGCCCCGCGTCGTGGAGCCAAACTCCGAACGTGGCCAAGAATCTGCCTGCTAAGATCCCGCTGCGGTAGAGCGTGTCAGGGACAATGCCCGTGTGCTCACCTAGCCACAGCTCGAATGCATCGAGCGAGCGTGTACGCCTGCTCTCATCAGCGGGGGTGAAACGAGAGCCCTGGGCGAACGAGATTCGCGCGAGAGGAAGCGCGGGGCTAAGGCCGCGACCGGAGTCAGCGGCAGCGGTCGAGCCAGAAGGC